ATTAACAGTTGATTATTTAGGCTTTCTTAAATTAGCTTTGCTGGAATCTTATAAGGAATCTTCAGATTGAATTTTTTTTTTAATCCTCACCTGAGAATATTTTTTCCATTGCTTTTTAGAGAGAGTGGAAGGGAGGGGAGGAGGGGAAGAGAGAGAGAGAGAGATTGATGTGAGAGAGACACATCCACTGGTTGCCTCTCGCTCATGCTTTGACCGGGGGCGAGGAGTGAACCCACAACCCAGGTATGTGCCTTTGATCAGGAATCAAACCCAAGACGCTTCAGTGCTTGGGCCAGCGCTGTAACCACTGAAAAACATGGCCAGGGCCTCCAGATTGCCTCTCAAAGTTAAGAAGCCAAGACAAATAGTTGCCACCACAGGCTTTGCCTGCAATACCTATAGGTTTGGATGAATTCCTCAGGTCCTTTTTTTTTTAATATATTTTATTGATTTTTTACAGAGAGGAAGGGAGAGAGATAGAGAGTTAGAAACATCGATGAGAGAGAAACATCGATCAGCTGCCTCCTGCACATCTCCTACTGGGGATGTGCCCGCAACCCAAGTACATGCCCTTGACCAGAATCGAACCTGGGACCTTCCAGTCCGCAGGCCGACGCTCTATTCACTGAGCCAAACCGGTTTCAGCTCCTCAGGTCCTTAAGGTTCCCAAAATGTCTTGAGATTCTTCTTTTGCCATCTCTTAGGAAAACAACCTTCATTCCAATGTAAGAGGCATATCTATTGGTTGCCTTGAACCTGAAACCCAGTATCTGATGGCAGTATCTGGAAACACTGCTGTGATGCATATAAGCACGGTACCAGGCTGTTTTCCCAAAGGGCTTTTATTGGCTTCCAAAGTCAATCTTAATTCCTCAAAACTTTCTGGTGACATCCAAGTCTATGCATATCTCTCTCAAACATGATATTCCAGTCAAAGCCCTGGTTAATAAAACCAGTCTCCAATTGTGTTCTGTTTTAAAAAGAACCTTTTCTTATTGAATTTATGCAAACAAACATTGCCATGAACATAGTCATACTCATTAAGAATTTCTTAAATTCTGAAGGGATCAAGTAGGAAGAAAAATATTAAATGCTTCAATATTGCTTATAAAAGTATAATTTACCAAATTGCTCTAAGGAAAAATACAAGTTTCCTATATCTGGAAAACAAAAAAATAAAATAAAAATCAGCAGTATTTTCAACAAAAAGGCATAAAATAATAATTATCCTCAGTTTAGTATCATATAATTAATTCTTATTTATCCTAATCTTCTGCCAACATTTTATGAATCCAGTTAATTCCTTAGAGTTCTATAAATCTTCATCCAGCTTAAAGTTATAACCTGAACATTTATTCTCAGAAAACTCTATTTTAGAATAAGTCAGGATCCTTCCCATGAATCATTAAGATGAGACATATTTGCAAAAGCATCAGAGTAAAACAATGACTGTTTATAAATGACAAAACTTAAAATGACATGGTTATAGCCCTGGCCCACGTGGCCCAACAGTTAAAGCCCAATGGTTGGCACACTGAAGGGTCACAGATTCAATTTTGGTCAAACCCAG